CAAAATAGTCCTTATAATCAGTTAAGCCCGGCCCTCATTAGCGATGCAAGCATAAGCATAAGCGTCAAAGAAACTTATGAGCTAGCGGGGACGAAGAAGCGGCCTATGATAAGCATACGAAGATCAAAACGCTACGTTCTACTTAATGCTTATGGGGCCGGCCATGTTGATATAAGCATAAGCGGAATGAATATAAGCGGAAGACTTTCAGCCAATCACAGAGCACTTTATGCTTATGCCAACCATGGCCTCACTAAACATAAGCATAAGAACACATGTGTCTATGCTTATGTTTAAGTCCCTACTAGCGAATAACCTTCTTTTGCTTATTTTTATGTGCTTGCGTCGCAAGTGAGGACCGGGCTTTGCAGGCCTGTCAATGCAAGAGGATTTCTCACATCTGTCTCAAGATAGGGCGCGAAACAACACGAAGAAATAATCTCTTTTTTCCTCTCCAAGTTGATCAAAGATGTCTGATGAACTCTGTGCTAATTATAATTAACAATCGACTCCTCTGCGAACATTGCCAGGATGTGTTCCGATGTGAGTAGATGAAATCACGTTTTCTATCAGCAGATCAAATAGAAAAAGAACCAATTAAAATTCACGGATTCACAATAGACTATGTTACTTTTATACGATTATGTGTTCGTCAGTTTGCTTCCCAATGCTATATAACTTTGCTCATATCGCTCTTTGGCTATGGCAGCTATCGATAGCAGTGGATTGTTAATGACAGTCCTTATCTGGAAGGTATATATTATGCCTATGTAAAAAGTAGGTCGTTACCCGTCAGAAAGCATCGGCACAGGCAACGAGTAAAAGTTTATTAAAAATATATACTTTAATTCATTAATTCATATATATATTATCTTTTACAGATTACAGTTCACGATCACAAGAATATGGGACATAACTACTGAGGGAAACTCTATTAATCGAAATAACTCAATAAAAAAATAAATAAGTAAATGTATGAATGAATGAATGAATGATTGAACGAACGAACGAACGAACTAACGAACGAACGAACGAACGAACGAACGAACGAACGAACGAATGAATGAATGAATGAATGAATGAATGAATGAATGAATGAATAGCAAATTGACCAAATGGACTGCATGTGTTAATATCCTTTCATCTGTTTATTGCAATGCTGGGGTAATGACGCAGGAGAAAAAGGCTTAGACACTGAAAACAATCTCAATCACCCCAAGACTTAAATTGGGACTTGTATCCTACTATCTCTACTCTTTGGCTTGGTTAAGGTTTCTTTTTTTAGCAAGCAAAATCTCTGCGACATCGAAAATAAACTATCTGCGTTTTAAAAGAGTAGAATCTGGAAACTCTCGAATGAATTTTAATATACCGTAAATCCTCTATTATTTTAAGCACTTTTGAGGGGTTCTTATGAGAGAGAGAGAGAGAGAGAGAGAGAGAGAGAGAGAGAGAGAGAGAGAGAGAGAGAGAGAGAGAGAGA